CTTAAGTCATCATGTCATGTATATGTATACATATGTACACATGAAACTTGCACGCTACAATGCCTATCATGTGTATGTGTTTAGTCAGCATGCTATAGATAATAATAATATGGTTTTTGAAATACAGTAGAAGCCGCTTATTTGAAAAGCCAATTTGTCAGCACATTTTTTTCAAATACCCGGCCTTTCCGATTAAGAGACTCTGAGGCTCAAACTCTCGGCCTTCATTGAAACTATGGGGGTGGGGGGTGGACAGGGCATCGAGCACATAACGACACAAAGAATACAAACACGAGTCACATTTACGCAATTAAAAACAGTGAACTTTATTGAGATCGGTAAATTTGTCTTTTAATTTTTTCGTTGACGTACACACGTAATTTTTTCGTTTTTTCCAAGACTGGAAGAACGCCGCGATACGTTAGACATCATGTGCTATCGGCAGGCTCTACTCGAACGAATAAACAAATTATGCTACGTTTGCTACGTAACAAAACAAGCAACGAATACATGCACAATCATCAGCCTGTACGTACTTTTACATCACGAAAGTAGACAAAAATAAAGTTTGATTAACGGAAAACTTCAATCAAGTAGCGTACAGACAAAAATGCAGACGATCGTCATGAAAGCAGTCGATAGCACAATTCACAAAGGATCGCTTCGATCGCTTAATTTTCAGAAACTCCGGCTAGCACACGAAAATTATCGTAACGAATGCAACAATAAACTGTTCATTTCAATGTTAATGACTTTTTAGCTCACGATGTCCGTAGGTTACATGGAAATTTGCGATAGTTGACGGGGATCTCTCGCATTAGCGTTCAGGGAAGTAAACAAAGATGGCGGACGCGGCGTGGGTAGCAGTATCCCATCATTCCATGCGGTGTTTTTTCGCGGCACATTTGGCGTGTTGATGCGGCGATAGCGCCGTGTCGCAGTCGAAATAAACTACAAAATAATGGCGCAGTACACAAGTAGAGACATGGTTTTGATGATTAAAAAATGAGTTGTATGAGAAATTAAACGTTCTTGGAATAAACAGGCTAAAAGAACACAAAAGCATGCCGCATTTGGCGGCTATGAACCGGCTCGCGCTTCTCATTACGTAGTGCCGATGTGCGCCCGACCGCTCGATCAACGTAAATTTCGGCCTCCTTTGTGGTTCAAAACAGACAACTTCGTCCCTTTTGGCGGCTTGATGTCTTGATATAAGAAATTTTCCGCCGATTTTGGTGATTTGTTTGGCATGTTTTTGGTTGAAAATGTGTTGCAACTTGACTAATTTTTTTTTTCAAATAGCCGGCATTGGCTTTTCAAATAAGGGGCGTGATAAACAATGGTGTCAATGGGAAACGGTTTGGGTTTTCACAATTCTTTTCAATTAGCAGACTTTTTCTTATAAGCGTTTTGCAATTAACTGGCTGCCACTGTATCAGCATTTGTACCACTTGTAAGTCTTACCACAAATTCAACTTAAAGTGCTTGAGAGAATAAAGTTTCATCTGAAAAATCACTGCCAGTACCTTGAATTACCACAAATATCTGCCATTTGAGCAATGGTTGTGCTTTGGAAAGTATCATCACGCCTAAAACATCTAGACTGATATCACAGTTTATATCAAGGATTACTACAAACATCCACTAAAAGTGTTGTCAGTGCTTTAGAAAATACTGCTTTATCTGACAAGTCCACAAGACACATTACAGGTTTACCAAGGTTTGCACCACTAATGTACAAACTGTGCCTAATGTGCCGTGGAAGTACTTCACAAAATACTGTGATGTTATCTAAAGAGTGTATACGGCAGATGACTAGTTTTTACCCAACTTCCCTGTAAATTCCGCCAAATGTACTGCAAAGTCCGCAAAATGTGTTTTTCTGGCAGAGTGAAAATCAATTTCAAGGCAGACTGGCTGGTATTGGCTTAGCTACACGTGTGGCCTTTTTGCAGGTCACACCACACAGTACATCAGCGCTTGAATGTCAAAGTACATTCTAGTGTCTCAACGCTCAAATTCCCATCAATGATCAAGGGGAAATATTCCTAAATCTGACAATTTGGCTTCTGGTGCTTTTAACTTACTTGGTAAGATCTGGAACAACAGGAACATCCTTCAGTCGACAAAATTTCGGATATACAATGCTGCTGTTGTTACCATACTTACCTACGGTAGTGAAACTTGGACTACTACCCAGGTGCAGATAGCGAGACTTGAAACGTTTCATCAACGCTGTTTGCGCCGTATCCTCCGCATCAGATGGTATCACCGGGTACGGAACAGTGATGTACTGCTGCAGGCACAGTTAGTGAACATAGCCACAACCGTAGCTTTCAACAGGCTTAGGTGGTTTGGGCACATTGTAAGAATGCCTGAAGAGCGGCTGCCCAGGTATCTACTAGACTGGAAACCGAACTATGGGCGACGCTCTAGGGGAAGGCCTAGGAAGTCATGGAATAACTGTGTCCTGGAAGATGCTGTGCTGATCTTAGGGAGGCCCAGTACCAGTCTAGAAGAGTTAAAGGAAACAGCAAGAGATAGGAAGGAGTGGAGAGGACTGTTGAGGAAGAGACGAGTTCTGTGCGCAGGCCACTCGAACGATTGACTCGAGGAGACCTCAACAAGTACAAGTACAAGTAAGTACTCCCACACACAGGTGCAGGTGGCACATGTGTTTCATAGACTGACCTATATAGCCAGTGCATGTAGCAAAAACATCTGGATATGAAAAAAGCATGACATCTCATATCCTGATTCAATTGAATTATGCTTGTTCAACACTTAACAAACTCATTCTTGTTATATTTCACTCCACTAGGTATGGATGAAATATTGTTTGTCCTGTTTCCTCTCTTCTCCTGCCATTTCATTAAATTGATGAGACGTTTTCAAATCTGGTATACAGGAAAATGAGCAAATATCAGCCTTTCTAGTTTCTAATTTGCTTCTTTGACACTTCTGTATGTGAGGAGTAGAGCCATCACCTTACAAAGTGTTCCATAGCCACCAAGGAAATGTTTAATTCAGGCCCTCGGATGCAACATAAAACGGCTGCTGCCGGACTTGTGCCAATAAACAGAGAGCGGCACAGCGCTACAAGGCCTGACCCGTGGGTTACAGCTGAGGCTGCTGGCAGTACACTTGGCGAGATTGGTGTCAGATGTGGGCATTACATTGTTGAACTGTGTGGGTGAACAACCCCTGAGCTCCTGTCTCATTGACATACATCATTCCTCAGTAGCCTGACCTCCATTTTGGACTTCAAACAGTCTATAAAGATCTTTTTTTTCAATCAAATATAGTGTGAACCTGATGATGCAATTTAACAGTTAATAAAGCTTGGCTCAATCAACTACATCACATCTTACCACAAATGTTAGGGTGTATGTTAATGCAATGTACATATACCCTCAAGGCAGGGTCATTAAATGATGATAATAGTCTATTCATAGTGTTAGGACCAGTGTTAGGACCAACTTCTTCTACACTCTCTCTTACTGGATGTACATGTAGTTTGCCTACTAACATCCAATCATTTTCAAAACATCTATTATATATTAACCTTCTTCCTGCTGCCTACCTAACCCATAACTGATTAAAATTTTTTGGGCCCAATGGCTACCTTACAAATGTAGTAGACTGAAGGTTAAATACTTGCCAGATCATTTTAAAAACATCTTTAACCTTCATATAAACTCATGACCAATAAAGTTTTGGTGTCTAACGGCTACAAACTTAGCAGGCTGAAAGTTAAAAATTTTAAGTTCTTCCAAGATTTCTTGTCTTAGGTAAGGGATACAAAATATCATCCATCCACTCATAAGGAATTTCAAAGAACTGGCATAACTTATTTCTCAATATATATTAACCTACTTACTGCCTTCCCTCCTGAAGCATTTGAAATAACCCTCAACCACACAGCCTTCATTACAGGACATTAATGGACTAGCCCCTTAGCTAAAATGTTACGCAGGTACATCCGGAGATGCGTGCGGGGGATATCATCCCCGAAATGGATTTGTTCAGCGGGAGCTACAGGAGAGTGTACTGTTATGGTTATTTGCGTTGGCTGTAATATTCCAGCTCAGCAGTGAATCTTATAGATAGAGCACTTTCCTGGGTGAGTTATGGGCTCAATCTTCCATCCCGGAGCCTTGAACCGGCTAAGGCACTAAAGCGACCAGGAGGCCAGAGATATTGGAGATTGTTTACGATTGCTATAATTGAAAATTTGCCACTTTCACTTTTGCAGGGAATTTATTTCTTGGCATATCGGATTAGTTGGGATTGACCCTGTATATGTAGTAGCAGTGGGATCATGTCAAAAGTGAGAGTTCATTTCTAATAGTAGGAGATGCTATATTTCATTTGGCTGCTGCTTGGATTATAGCTATCATCTTCACGTGTAATTTAAATTTCTGGTCAAAAATGGTCCTAGTTCTTCTTAAAATTACAATGGCCTCATTTTTTCAGAAAACCATACTGTATAGATCAGAACTTGGCCAATTAATTAATAAATGCTACTGGAGAGATGTTAGTTTTAATACATAGTGTTTATACCTGGAATTATGGTTACTGTGAACAAATACTTCACAGACTTTCCTTTTACCTATCACCATTGCGAACATACAGTTCCGAGAACATGTCCATTTTTCTCAGACAACGAACATGAAGTGATCTGCAGAAAAGAGACTAAGAGGCAATGTTTCAAGCCCTCTTACCTGTCTCTACTGGTAGTTCTGTCTTGTTCGAAGCTCCTTCACAACTTTGGGGTCGAAGGTCAGCAGTGGGAGAGCTGCGGACTTCCTTGTCGCTGTCGCCTCGGCCGCTGTCATGGTTGCTATGGACGGAGCCACGCCCGCTATCGTGGTTGCTATGGGTGGAGTTCAGGCTCTCGTCCGAGGTATGTCCGTCCTTCAGCATCCTCAACAGACGAGCCTCCTGTGGAGGGAAGGAACCATACATTAGAATTTTTTAAATTTTTTTTTTTAATTTTCGAAAACTTGGTATTAAAAACATACAATAAAACATACATGTACAACACATGCAATACATGTTTTACATAGTACAAATGTACCAACCTACATGTATAGTGAAAAGAGAGGAAGCAGGAAATTTGTTTCCTGAATTCACCCAAGGCATGTAGAACCGCCTTTCGGACAGAATCTCCTGTCAATCTTCCACCCATGTACTCTCAACCTACTGTCCCCAGAAACTCTGCTGCCCAAAACAATACTTCCATACAGGGAAATGATATTAAGTAGAATGTCAGCAATATCTGCCACAGTTTCAAGCTTTGTAAAACTGTGATGATCCATGAAGGTATGAATACTATATGTATGCCAGCAGGTTAACATACAGCCGGCTCCCTGTTATCCCTATGGTGCTACATGTAAGAGTTTGCCTGCTTGTCAAGCCTCCTGCCCAGGGCATGCTATGGGTTTTACATTATGTTGCCACAAACAGAATGGCAGTAATTAGAAAAGCCAGATCAACTGCCAGAGCAAAAGCCTGTATGCCAACTGTGCCAACTCAACTTACTGGGGCCTGAAACACTCCAAAGTCGGTCTGTAGAGCATCCCATTACCAAGCTACATGTACTGCTTTGAACTTGATTCAAAGAGAACAAAACCATGCCTTTTGAGGTTAACAAAGAACCCGTCCATGTTAAAATCAGCATATCATTCCCACCTTGCACCTGCAAAAGCTTTCATCAGAACCACAAGAACATGATCTATGGCTACATAAATACTACATGAATGCCAGTAGGACAAGTTCATCAATCATTTAACAACTCCAGCCTTCCCTCTGTTCATTTGGTTAGGATGACAAAGCGAGTGCAGAATCTTCTGTGTCTCTTATCTGACTTGTGGATTACTCAAAGTCCCGTATGGAATAGAAAGCATGCATAATACCCCAGCTATTAAGTACCTACAGATTCATCATAAGTTATCTCAGTGAGCACTGAGATACTTTGTGTCCAGCGTGCTATGGGTTTGGCACCCAGGCTATCATAAGTCTTCTGAAGTGTACTTTGCTTTGGGATGGACTAGGTAAAAATGGCAGATAAAATGTTGGCGGATCTTTTGCAGCTGAAAGTTACCCTGTTCTTACAAAATAATCCTTAGGCCTAGGAAAATTAAAATAGGGTCGGTGGGTAGGGATTTTCTTCTTTTAAAGGTTTTTTTTTTTCTTGGAAATAGGACTAGCTTCCCAAGATAGAACATCTAGTCCCCACTTACCTGTTCGTACAAAAGAATCCTTAGGCCTAGGAAAATTAAAATAGGGTCGGTGGGTAGGGATTTTCTTCTTTTACAGGTTTTTTTTTTTCTTGAAAATAGGACCTAGCCTTCCCAAGATAGAACATCTAGTCCCCACTTAAATGTTTCTATAAACCTTGGATGTATCAACCTTTTCAAAAGATGTAGTTTGAAATGAGTAGTACTACTAGTGAGATCACTTCCTCCCCCCCCCAAAAAAAAACATAGCTTCCCCTCAAGGGTTTACATTGATGTGTACCAGTATCCCCTGGGAGAACTTACATAGGTATGTGCACTAACCCCTGGGTATAACCTTTTCCCAAGATGTAGGTTTGTAATAAGATACCAGGCAGGGCTCCCCCTCCAATATATAACCAACTGTTGGCAGCCTGCAAATGTTTTACAGGTGTCTGGCACAAGCTGGGGCTCTGTTGGGGGTGCCCAGTATCCTTGTCTTACAATTTGTACTCCCCTGTGTGAGATACTAATTGAAAACCAACCACAGACACTTCATTTAATGGGCCCCCATAAAAATAGGCAGCTTGTGTCTGCACTTGGGAAAGACTTCTCCACAGGTAATTTATAACGTTATGAATATGTTCTCCATTTACATTACTACTACATCTACTGTAAGGTTACCACTGAATTATTTGCACCACGTATTTCAAACCCTTTCAAATCCTTTTGCTGAGAAATAAAACCATTCACTCACTAGATAAAACCATTGCAAATATAAAATGAGTTTACAGTAGATTCTATTCAGAGATACCTCATCATTGTTACATCATGTTGCTTTGATCAATACATATGTTTCCAGTGTGGATTGACTTTGATTGATTGTCATTCAGCAGTAGGGGGATAGAGAGTAATGACTCTTGCTGTAATATCATTTCCAGATGTGAATCATTTTCAGTCTTATGAACTTTATAGAGTTGCATACTCTTAATTTTAATAGTTTTTGTTTACATTTAGAACATGTCAAAGACTAAGGCCACACTAATTTGATTTATTGGTTCTCAGATTTTTTTCAGAAAAATAAGCAACAAGGCAACAAAAAAACAGGCCTAGGCATCCTATGAGTATGAAGCCCTAAATGCTAGATATATGTATGAGCCAACATGCTAGGGTGGTTTGTAATTCAAACAATAAATTTTAAACTTTTAGTCAAACCACTGCATTGATCGATGGATAAACTGTAACAACTACGAAAACAGTCACTTTCTTCAACTGTTGGGGCCAAAATAGGACTTGATTCAGAACCTGAATTTTTTCATGAGGCAAGCAAATCCGAGAACCAATTGATTAAATTGGTGTGGCCTAGGGTACTAAAAATGGACTAAAATCTGATCCACCCTTATTGAAATTCCTAAGGCACCACCAAAGGTTACTGTCTCCATGCCAAGACCACCTACAGAAAAAGGCTGACATCCACTTTTGCTTAGCCTGGATGCCAGACCCAAAGCACACTGGACACAAAATATCTCAGTGTGCAAGGGTCTGGTAGGGCCAGATAGACCTGCCACTCGAACGCTCAGTATCTGAGCACACAGAGATCCAGGCTACTTTTGCTGGGTTGCGCACTTGTCTTACAATTCTACATGATGCAATGATCCATTAGATGACAGCATATACAACACTAACATCAATCTTGGATATTACATACATCTGTGCATGCATTTCAAGATAGATATTGCAACCCAGCAATATAGCGATAACATCATGCATCATCTTAAGATATTACACTATACTTGAGATTCATTGTATTACATACATCTGTGAAGATAACATTTATCTTGACACATCATGACATACTGTAATTCCAAAACTTTTTGCCTTGGCTTCATGTTTTTTAGTCTCTCCACCACGAAATTAGCTATAGAACACCACAAAAATGTCTCTTTTATTTGACTACCCTACTGTGCTACAGACTTATTTCAACCACAAAACATCTCTTTCCTCTTCTTACCACGAAATAAAACAACTGCAAAATACATGTATTCAAGCACAGTCAAATGTGTGGTACATGATGAATCCCTCTCATTCAAGCCTTCCCCAGAGAGGCAGTTAAATGTTCATCACACAACTGCAACTCAACAATAATCCATTACAAACGTGGCACAACACTTTAACATCTTCAGTTCCACCCTTGGAGAGCATTATGGAAAGTCAGCAATATTAAGGAACACTTCACACCAGATCAGTTTCCAATGAGTGTGACGACAGTGGTGTGAACACTACAAATCAATTAGGGCAGACAGCAAGGAGGCTTTTCCTCAGGAATTTCCCCCTAGGCCTCCCCAGGCGAAACATGTGTAACCCATTTCCACTCTGAATTTGAGACAGTGTTTACTGCATACCACACAGCTATGCAGCCGCAGTTTACCATTTACAATAGCAGTCTAGGCTATCTTTACAGTCAACACTCAACTAATACCTCATTATCACTGATAATCTAAACCTCAACAGATGAAACCTTTACAAGAAGGGCTATCTAGACAAGGGGAGTTAGATAGCAACATCTTGCAAACACAGGTGTCAGCAGTGTTATTTTTAGCTCCCAAACCTTTAATACCCAGAACAATTGATTAGTAGAAGAGTAAAAGCATCAATAAATTCAGAAATGTCAACAAAGATATTTCAAATACTCACATATTAGTGCAGTTAGACATGTTTTCTTTCAAAATGCCTGGCCATAAATTTTATTTGGTTCTTTTTCTAGTACAGACATGCAGCTGAATAATTTGTCATTTCAAAATAAAACCACCCTCTAAAATGTGAGATGAAGTTGTAAATGTTAATGCTTTCAGTGAACTTGCATTTCTTTGGGGAGGCTATTGTTCTTTTTCAGTGTCTATTTCTGAGAACACACCCACTGTAAGCACCAGTGACATTTCATGACAATTGACAGTAACCAAGAGCATTAGCTAACTGAAACCATGCCACTGGACATGTTTGGTGGGACATGCCCACACAAAACACATGTGGGAAATGTTGAGGTTCAAAAGGGCATGTCATGTTCATTTAGAAGGCTTCAACATAAATTTCGCAATTCTGTCTTTTAGTCTCTGGGTTCTGGTTTTAACTTTGTTTGCAATCTTATATTCACAATGTCATCGTAATATATCAATGCACACTAATCATCATCAAAAAAAATTTTTGTTGTGTTTTAAGTTTACAGTTGAAACAATTCTGTAGTATAGAAGCAAATGTAACACATTAGAAATACATATTTGCGGTTTCATTTGCCAATGACGGCAACATATAAAACACAGAAAAAGTTTGGAAGAATGACAATAGCAGGAATGTCAAGGTCTAAGGGTGCTTGAAAAGAATTCCATGTCTTTTCCTTAGAGGCCTAATAAGTGTTCCAGAACCACATGTGAAGCCAAGCTACCCAAATTTATACATAATACATCCATGTAGACCCAAAACGGTGGCAGAATTCGCTTTATCATCTGAGAGTCCACATCAACATTTGCACCACGACTACAAATACATGTATGCCATGCACAACTACATGTACATAGCAATGAGAAATGAGGTAGCATTCAATAAATCTCCTGGATTTGATACATGTATCTTAAGGTGAACTTGTGGCAAACTTTTCATGGCCTGGTGCCAAAGTTCTGCAACCTTGGCTTTCACATGTGGTTACTTTCAAAGTTTTAGTTGCCTGGCACT